AACCACGACAGGCTATCCCTAAGGTCCAAAGGTACAAAGGGCAGAGGCCAAAGGAGAACTTGGATTCTAGTCTAATCCCAGATCCCAGGCCAAAATTCAAGAGACTCCTCTGAAGAGCTATAACCTGCAGGATGGATTTGGGAAAGGGATAAGGGGCTGAGCCTGTCTGGGAATTTTTACCCCAAGCCCTTCACAGAGTGAGGTATTAATGGCTTGGGAATCTGACAGGCAGTGGTAAGGTTGGGCAGTGAGGGGGAAGAGTCAGCCCCTGGCCATTGTTCAAAGAAATCTTTCCCTCTGTAGCCACAGTAAGGCTGCTCCAGAGTCAACTTGCTCACCTCACAGCAAGGTATGTGATAAAACTACACAATACATTACCACCAATTAAAATCTGTAATAATCACACATAATCTTTAATAATGCTTAAAGATTATCATAGACTGGGTATATATCTGAAACAATGAAGAGCAGGGACTTGGACAGAAATCTGTATACCCATGTCAACAGCAGCATTATCACAATAGCAAAAAGGTGGAAACAACCTAAGTGTCCACTGATGAATGAATGGATAAACAAAATGTGATACATACATACATACATTTCAGTAGGAAAAAAAGATTAATGAAAGAAGGGCAGTGCAGTCATTACAACTGTCAACCAAGAGCTGCCAATGACATGAAAAATCATGTTGACATTATGTTAGATCAAAAAAGCAAGGCATAGATTACATGTGGTAGATTTGTTATATAAAGACAAAAATCTCCATATCTGTGTATATATATGTGGGCAGAAAAAAGACTGGAAGGAGATACACAAATGTCAACAGTGGCTATGTTCCTAAGGATGGGCTTCTTTTTATTTTTACCACTTTTCACATTTTCCAAATTTTACATAATGAGCATATATTACTCTGATAATAGGGTAGGGAAAGAGAATGTAAGTATAAAATCAAACCACAAAAAATGCAAAGAAAAATGAATATTTATTCAAACTCCATATTGGGGAGGGGGGGGTCTTCATGTTTAACAGGAAAAGACAGGAAAAAAATCACACAGGAAAAGATCAATTTTTTGATTACTTTAAAAAGTGAAACCCATAACTAAAATTTAAATTGAAAGGCAAATTCACACAACTGAAAATAAATGCCCAATAAGCATACAGAGAGAACAATGACCAAGGTCACTGATAAGCAAATAATTAGAAATTAAAACAGAATGTCACTTTCACCTATTATTATAGGGATTTTTTTTTTTGGTTTTATGGTTTTTATTTGTATACTTGTTTATTTTTTAGCTTTAGTACTCTAAGGTGGCAAGAGAGTGAGAAGAGGAGCAAAATAGAGATATTTTTGACAACTTGGCACATTTCATTCACAAAGTTGATCATTACAGCATTATTTACAATATTGAAAATCTGGAAATAACCTCAATTTTCAACAATTGAAAGATTAAGTAAATTTTGGTAAAACTACACAATAAAATATATTACTACAAATATAAAATATCTGTGCAAATAGTACAGAAAAATCTGTAATAGCCACACATAATTCATAGTGAAAAAGGTAAGAACATGAATTGCATGATAAAGAACACAGTATAATCACAACAGTGTAAAAAATTCACACCCCCAAAAAGACAAGATATTAAGTGACTATTTCAGGATAAAATATTCATGTATTTGTATTATATTTGCGTTTTCCAATTTTTCTATAATTAACACATCGATTTTATCACATATAATTATCACATATAATTAACACATCGATTTATCAGAAAAAATACTGTTTTTAAGTAAGATGAACACAAGATTCTTTAGCAACGTTCATTTCATCCCATGATAGAGTCTAGAAAGTCACAAAAACTTCAGCCTCTGGGAGGGGGGTGGGCATGAAAGCTGGGTCATGAAGAATGGTTATGAATGGGTGGATGAAGAGAGGAAAGGGACAACCTAGGAGGGGTTGGGGAGGCAGGGATTGTTAAGGGAGAGCCAGGGACCAGTAGGCAAACTGGTCAGCCGAGGAAAGGGGTGTTGTGGAGTCAGGGAAGACTCTGACTGCTCAGTAGAGGTCTATCTAGACCCAGTAGTAGGCACTGATGGTGTTCTAAAAGGGAAGGATCAAAGAGGGACTTTAGGAAGACACATGGATTCCTTTAGGGGCAAGGGAGGAAAGAGGAGGGGTGGGTAAACCACTTGGGAAGGAAAGGAGAAGGTCTGAGGCGATGATGAGGGAATGGAGAGGAAGGGGCTAATTGCTGTAGTGACCTCCCTACCAAACATACTTCGCTCACCTCTGGACAAGTCTCTGTGGGCAAATGTAGGGAAGAGAATCAGCTCGATGAAGGAACCTGACAACAGCCAGCAGATTCAGGTCAAATCCAGAGATAATCTAGGGAAGCTCTGTCCAGTCGAGCTTTCTGCTGTGACAGAAATGTTCTAGACTGTGGCTACTGAGCACTTGAAACATGGTGAGTGTGACTGAGAATCTTCTTCTTAAATTTTTATTTCATTTTAATAAATTTAAATAGATATATGTGCCTAGTGGCTACTGAGTAGACAGCACAGACACAGAGCCAGTGGTTCTCAAAGTATGGTCTTTGAACCAGAAGCATCACCCTGGAGCTTGTAAGTAATACCAGTTTCAGACCCCTCCCAGACCCACTGAATCTGGATCTCTAGGGCAGGCACAGCCCGTTGGGTTTTAAGAAGCCCTGTAGGTTGTTCTGATGCTACCTCGTGCCTGTGTGCCACGGAACTAGGGCCATTCAAAATGTCTGGGATCACTACTTCTGCCTTCCACTAAACCATATAAAAGAACCTCTGCTGAAGTGAAGTGGGGACTTCTATAGATAAAGTGACTGGAGAACCATTAATAAGGTATGTCCAGCTCAGTAGAATTGGGGAAAGGCTATATGAAGCAACAAAGATGTGGTTTCTCTAAGCTGAGTCAAGGTAAGGAATTTGGTTAGCTTTGATATCTGAAAACCAGAAAGTGGCTGTTCATCCCAAGGTACGTTGGAGATGTGCAAAAGGAAACAAAAAGTGGCTCTAAATTGGGTTCAGTGTCAAAAACACAAAAAACAACCATAATTTATATGATGATTTAGAAGAACCTGCCACTGCATGAAATACAGCCTTTCTTTCTAAAAGGAGAGATTTATAAAAGAAGATCAAGAAAAACTAAAACCCAAGGAGAGCTCAAGCGTTCTGGGGCTGTGCCCTCACATAGAAAGGATGAGAGAGAAACACTTCCAGTGGAGACAGAGCAACACATAAAAGCAGCCCATGTGGACCCACACCTGGATGCAGATTCAGTCACACAGGCAAGTAAGAAAATGCAGCCAGAGGAAAGCACCACAGATTTACTGCCAAAATGACAGCTGCACATAATAGATGCCTGTCACTCTTATGACACAGTTCAGCTTACAACTTTATCAAGAACAGAATTTGGACATTTTCAATACTAAAACTATGCTTCAAGAAACAAAGCGAGAAAAAAATAATGAATCACACATATTGTAGCTAACCAGGAAAAACAGATGGGCATGAAATAAAATCCTGGGTTAGAACTTATAACTGTGGAGTAGGGGATAAGGCCAAATACACTGAAATATGTCATGAGGAATTTACAGACTGTCCTATAAAAATCACAGTGGTTGTGATGGGGGCAATAAAGAGGATGAAGACTGAGAAAGAAAAAGCTGAGGGAAACCATCTACAAAAGCCAAGTTTCCCAGAAGAGAGACAGGCTTCGGGAGCAGAGATGATTAGGGCCCTTCACTCAAGTAGAAATTGTTGCCAGAACAGTTATCCACTTAACTGCTTAGATCACTGTGTTACCACATATACCTCTATCATAAACAAATCAGAAAAAAAAAAAAAAACCTCTTTGAAATTTTACTGATTTTAGTATAATATCTTGTCATTTTTGGTTATAATTTAATATACTTCAGTAACTTAAACTAATTTGCTGTAGTTTGTTAAACATTTACCTTAAAATACTGAAGCATCTGTAAAAAGAAAATTACTAAAAAATACTCATTTCAGTACAAGACTACATTAGATATTTATTAGAAAGCTATTGACTCTTATGATGACTACTGATAAATTGATCAGTTTCAACAGGTTATAAATATGAGTTGTAAATATTCCATCTCCTTTAAGATGATATATACTAAGCTCATTACTACTGCTTGCCTTTCCGAATACTTTTATATTTAGGAAATACAGAACTGCATTCTGGGGGAATGACAATTATCTAATATTATGCTAATAAAAAGTTTTCATAATCCTCAAAATAATTTACAGTAAAGTCAATGTTTTCTTTAATAAGCAATTAAAAGTAGACTGTTTTCTGCCTCCTGGATAAACAGATGTCTGCAACCAACCATTGCTAAAGAAGAACACTAATATGATTTTGAATGTCTCAATCCATGGATACAATTATACTTTTAAACATTTTTCACTGTGAATAAGTCTTTTAATCGATGGTGTTGAGTTAAAGGGTCGTATTACTTGCTAACAAATTATTTAGATGAGAAAGTATTTGGAAAAATTTAACCTAATTTCCCATACATCTCATGTCTCTAGTTTAATGAACATTATTTATTATTTGATTTAAAAATTCCACATTGATCACTTCATGCATATTTTATCTTTGGATTTTGAAATCCTGTTGTCTTAGAAACAATAATAGAAGATAAACTGTATAGCATTGGCTTCTAGCGTTATTTTTTAACTCTATTTAAAAAAGAAATGTGGATTATATGTTGACATAATATTTTGAATATACTGGGCTACATAAGATATATAATTAAATTATAAACAAAATAATCATGAACTTAGTTTGAAATTCAATTTGACATATGGTTACTTTTCAAAATACACTGAATTTCCACAAATAATTAAAGTATTTCTTTAGTATAATGTTATGGTTATTTACTAAGGTCTTGATATACAAAGGTGTGACAAAATTTTAATTTGTTCAATTTATACTTATTCACTCAATACATAAGATATGACTTTTTGAAAAAGGGGGGGGGGGAAGGTTCAGCCCAGCCTCAGTCTAATTACCAATTATAAGTTAATAGAGACTAAATGAAAAGGTTTGGCTATTACATACTTTTAGACCAAATTGTTAATGCATATCTGGATTACCTACCCCTCAGGTTGCTTCCAATATTATGGGTAATCACAAAATAACAAGTTCTAACTCCTCCTCTCACCAACTGGAAAGGAGCACAATACATTTGCTCTTAGTTGTTGGCAAAACTCAAGGCATCAATGATGGAGAAAGTTCTCTGCCTCGGGAATCATTATACACATTGTGATCCTGCAATGGGTCAGAATCCACAAAATACAGTTCCCCTGCATGGATGTCAGAAAAATTAGCCAGAAATTCATTAGGATTGAAGCCAACCCACACAGTATACCTATAGTCTATGGTGCGTATGGAATAGCCCATGATCTTTATGTCTTTTAAAGTTGGCTTGTCAGAATTCCACTGAGGGGAGTCTGCCGGCCGCGGGTACTGGCTATAGGCAATCAACTCACGGGGATTACTGTGGAGGTATGGATCCTCTTCCAAGTCATGGAATAGAAAATGCTTCAGAAGGCTCCGGCCTTCTCTGCACAGCATAACTTGAAATGAAGGAATAGGGCAGCGAGGCGGAACTTGGAGTCCTGCCAGTCCAGCCAGTGTGGGGAACAGGGACACAAGTTCCACGAGATGCATGGATTGCCTGCCTGAAACAGGAAGTGACACAGAAGAATCAGTTCTTACTGCAGCCTGCCCTGCCAGGCAGGATGAGAAAAAGAACCTGTCTGGGCTCCACATGTTTTCTTCATTTACAATATTTAATTTTAGCAAGAGAAGTTTAGGGATACCACCACCTCAGCACCTCACCCTCTACCCAATCAAATAGCAAGATGAAAAATTAAGGTGCCCCAGCCTAGCGGCACTTTTAAAAACTACTTATATTTTAGAACCACCAGTGTAATAACTGATTCAGGCAAAGACCATCAATTAAGGCTAAAAGCACTGGGTAAAAGTCTGTTGAGGAACAGGATATTCCAAGTCTCACAGATCACCCCAAAGATTACTCCTGCCTGGGTGTCCACATTTGATCTGTCTTTTCTTTTTATTATGGTTAAATACATATAACATAAAACTTATTTCTTAACCATTTTTCAGTGCACAGCTCAGTGGCATTAAGTATATTCATGTTATTGTGCCACAATCACCATCATCCATCTCCAGGATGCTTTTCAATTTACACAGCTGAAAATCTGTACCCATTAAATAACAATTCCCCTTCTTCCCTTCTCCCCAGCAACTGGCAACACTGTTCTACTTTTTATTGCTATGAAATGGACTACTCTAGATACCTCAGATAAGTAGAACCATACAATATTTATCTTTTGTGATTGGCTTGTTTCACTTAGCATAATGTCCTCAAGGTTCATCCATGCTGTATGTAGCACGTAACAGATTTCTCTCCTTTTTAAAGGCTGTATTATATAACACTATATGGGTAGACCACAGTGTGCTTATCCATTCACCTACTGATGGACACTTGGGTTGCTTCCACCTCTGGCTTTCATAAATAGTGCTGCTAGGAACATTCATGTACAAGTTTTTATTTCAATATCTTTTTTCAATCCTGTGGGATATATAAATAGAAGTGGAATTGCTAGGTCATATGGTAATTCTACATTTAACTTTTTGAGGAACCACCAAACCATTTTCTGCAGAGGCTGCACAATTTTACATTTGTGCAGCAATGCAGCAATGCACCAGTGTTCCAATTTATCCATATCCTCACCAATACCTGTTGTTTTGTTTTTTTGTATTAATATCCACCCTAATGGGTATGAAGTGGTATCTCACTGTGTTTCATCCATCTTTGAAGTATAAATCCTGTACTTTATATTCATTCCTGTTAAAGGATCTTGTACTGTCATTCTTGCCTTTTTGGATCTTTAAGAGATTGTTTTATAGTGTCCAATTTTATTTTCTAGACACTTATTTGTAAAAAAATAAAAAGAAGAAAAATTGTAAAAGGTTTTTTAAAAAGGTATTTTTACAATGGTGAGATCTGGCTGATACTATCCCATCAACCAAGAGAACAAACTTAGCGTTGCTAATAAAGGCCATGAATTGCTCTCAATGTGATACAATGGAGGATACATCTCATGTAGTACACTTTCCAAAAATGTTTAAACTGAATGTAGTCATGAAGAAACAATCAGACAAATCCAAACTGTAGGACACTACATAAGACAACTGGCCTGGATGCTTGTTTAAAAAAAATCCTAAAATTCATATGGAACCATAAAAGAGCCTAAATAGACAAAGCAAGCCTAAGCAAAAAGAACAAAACTGGAGGCATCACATCACCTGACTTCAAATGGCTATAGTAACCCAAACAGAATGGTATAAAAATAGACATATACATCAGTGGAACAGAATAGAGTTCCCAGAAATAAAACCATTTACCTATAACCAACTGATCTTCAACAAAGCAGACGAAAACACTGGGGAAAAGACACCCTATTCAATAAATGGTGCTGGGAAAATCAGATAGCCACATGAAAAAGAATGAAATTGGATCCCTGCCTCTCACCATACATAAAAATTAACTCGAGATGGATTAAACACTTAAATGTAAGACTGGAAACCATAAAAATTGTAAAAGGCAAGCTACGAAAAACTCTTTGGGATATTGGCCCAGGCAAAAAAATTATGACTAAGACCCCAAAAGCAAATGCAACAAAAACAAAAACAAATAAATGAGACTTAAACTAAAAAGCTTCTATATAACAAAAGAAATAATCAATACAGTAAATAGAAAATCTACAGAATGGGAGAAAATATTTACAAACTATGCATCTGACAAAGGACTAATAACCAGAATCTACGAGGAACTCAACTCAGCAAAAAAAAAAAAAAAAAAAAAAAAAAAGAACCCCACTAAAAAGTGGGCAACTGACATGAAAACACATTTTTCAAAAGAGCCAAGAAGCATATGAAAAAATGTTCAACATCACTAATTTCTAGTCATAATGGCCATTATTAAAAAGTCAAAAAACAATAGTTATTGGCATGGATGCAGTGAAAAGGGAACACTCATACACTTTTGGTGGCAATGTAAAATTAGTACAACCCCTGTGGAAAACAGTATGGAGATTCCTCAAAGAACTAAAAGTAGATCTACCATTTGATCCAGCAATCCCACTACTGGTTATCTACCCAAAGGAAAATAAATCAAGATATATATATAAAAAAAAACCCTGCACTCATATGTTTATTGCGGCACAATTTACAATCACAAAGACATGGAATCAACCTAAGTGTTCACCAAATGATGAGTGGATAAAAAAATATGATATATATTATATATGTACAAATACCATGGAATACTACTCAGTCATAAAAAGAATGAGATCATGTATTTTGCAGCAATATGGATGGAACTGGAGGCCATTATCCTATGTGAAATAACTCAGGAATGGAACATCATATACTACATGTTCTCACTTAGAAGTGGGAGCTAAGCTATGGGTACACATGAACATACAGAGTGGAACAGTACACAGTGAAGACTCCAAAGGTAGGAGGGTACAAGGGGGTGTGAGATAAAAAATTCCCTATTGGGTACAATGGGCACTATTTGGGTGTGGGGTGTTCTAAAATCCCCAATCTCCCTAAACAATATATCTGTATAACAAAACTGAACTTGTACCCCCTAAATATATTGAAATAAAGAAAAAAAAAGATGAGGTCAGGAAGATAACATGGGCCAGATCATGCCTTGTCAACCACTGTGAGGACTTTTACTCAGAGTGAGCTGAGAGCATAGGCTCCTGAGCAGGGCTGTAACATGACATGACTTGGGTTTTAATAGGCACATTTTGGCTGCTCTAAAAAGGAAAAACTGCAGGGGACCCAGGGCATAAGCAAGAGACCATTTAGCAAGATGTTGCAGTAATTCAGCATGAGATGGTGGCAATCTGATCCAAGGTGGTGGCAGTGGAAGTGGTGGGAAGTGGTAGGGACAGACTCTGAATGGAGTACAACAGGCTTGCTGATGGACTACTTATCACAAATGGAGCATGAAAGAAAGACAGAGGTTAAGATAATTGTGTGATTTTCTGGCATGAGCAACTGTTGCTATTTTCTGAGGATGAGAATTAAGTTGAAGGAAACACTGAAGGTGAAAGAGCACAAGTTCAACTTTGGGCATGTTAGGCCAAATTGGACAGGCTGTGGGAAATACCAGCCTGAAGTGCAAGGAAAAGATACAGACTAGAGATAAAATTTCAAAACAAACTGGATGACAGTGCAGTTACATGAATTTATAACTTGCTGAATACCTCCCAAGAAAAGTTTCAAAAAACATTCTAAATCTGTCAGATGATTTCTCCCAGCAAACAAAGGGCTAAAATCATGGCTTGAAACTGCTTAACCTTTGTTTCAATAACATGAAAGAAGATAGAGTATGCAATGCACAAAAATCAATGTGCAGAAAACATAATTTGGTATATAAAGCCAACTCAGAAAGATCCAGAAAGACCAGAATGATGGTCCAAAACCAAAATAAACTTAAACAAGAATCAATATAAAGTACAGGATTTGGATGTTACTGATAGATTAAATGCTTAAGTACAGAAAGGGGCAATTTGGTTTCACAAAGTTCATGGAAAAAGCACTTCCAAAAAGGCAAATGTCATCTGAAGTATATGACTTGTCTTTGAATGCACTGGGCAGATCAAGTTAGGATACAAATCACAAGAACCTACACAGGTTGCCCCATGTGGGCAGAAGGGGTAATGTGGTCCAGGGGATATTCTGGAAATGATTTCTCAAACTGGAGCTCTTTGGAAGGCAAAGACCAGGATATCCACAGGTATGAACACTACCTTGTGGGAATAGCTGAAGGACTGAGGATTTCAGCCTAGAGAAGAGAAGGTATTGGTGGAATGAGACAGGGACATCAATGTTGTTTTCAAAGCTTTGAAGGACTGGCACAGAGCAGTCAAAGTAAACTAGAATCACCTGGTAGATTTTACAGATCTAGTGATTCATTAGAACGATGGGCTGCCAAAATGGAAAATGTCTGCCCCAAAAAGGGCCGAGTCTCTGCCAAAAGGGTGCATGCAGGTAAAGAATTCTAATCATCTGTTAGGGGGACAGCCCTTTCCTCTAAGCTCTGAAGCAGGCTATTGTTACCTCTACAACAGCCCTCCCCATCCTGGGGATGTCACCCAGTCCTTTGTCCCTCCCCATTTCAAAGTTCCTTATGGACAGGGGCCATACTTGTCAGGTCTGGTTCTGCTACTCCTCCACCCAGAGCATGGGAGGTGCTCAGGAAATGTGTGCTGACAACACAATGTCAGGAAGGAATTCCAACACGGGACAAGAAGGGGGCCTTTGTAAGCAAGGCCCCAGCCTATGATGCAATAAGTTGGGTCACATGTAAACTAAAGGTGCTCTTACTGTCAGGCAATATCACGTTAGCATATTTTATACCTGGCTCCATCAACTCTGAGACAGAATCAAAAGGGTCAAGATAAGGAAAAAGCTTCTCTCCTGCCTCCGGAAACAAAGTTGTCCTTCCAGGAACATAGAACATCAGAGGCACACGGGTAGTGACATCAAAATTGCTGTACTTGGCCCATTCTCCATGTTCACCTAGAGCCCACCCTGATTGATAAAGAACACAGAATGACAATCAATAATCATATCACAGCTTGTTTATTTTAGAAACCATTTCATTTCCTGTTGTAAAAACCAGAGGAAGTGAAAAATCACCTAGAAGAAAGAAATTCTTCTAGAATTACAACAAAAAGGGTGATTTCACCTGAATGCTATTGTATTCAAAGTCAGATATTTGTCCTCAATGAGGAAACCTTTTAAAAGGAAAAATAATACTAAATTCCCAAACTCAAATATCTTCTTTTAACAAACAGCTAGTGATATATACCTACACTGGGCTCTGTGGGACCACAGGTTCACACACACACATGCCTCCCCTGATAAGACAGGCTCATTCTTGACTGGGCAGGGACCCTGAAAGCCACAGTGTCATTGTCCTGTTCTGTGCCTACCTAGCTCTTTACCCATGTTCCACAAGGTCAGATTATCAGTTTTGGTTGTGTGCCACCAAAATCTGAGCTGTGGAACTGTGGAATAATCATTCAAATTCAAAAAAGACAAGGATATCTTGTTTAATTTTTAAGACATACCATACATGGAATAAAACAAAACTTCAGATTCCAGATCCTTAAACCCTGATTAAAAATAACTATTAATACTGATTTAAAACTTCCCTTGCAAAAGACAGTTTGAATGCTCCAAGTTGAAAGTTCTCAATCTTTTTAAGTTTCAGCAACCTTTTGGTACAAAAAAACGTACATGACAGAAATTGTACATTGAGTATTTAGTGTTATAGAAATAACCAAAGACAATAACCAAAAACTGCCATGGTTGGACTGGAGAAGGCATGGAAATGCACCTGCATTTGATTCATCACAGCCACATCTGCTGGCATCTGAAAGAGGAACGTGCGAAGTACAGTGCAAAACCTTGCTGACTCAGTCTACAGGTGATGCTGGGGTTGCCAGTGGAGTCCCAGCCTGCCCAGCCTACAAGATCAGGGCCAGGACCTGTTCTGAATCAACAGTGCTCTCCTAAGAAGATTCCAAGTGGAAAGGAACCTCTCACCAATCAGTAATCAAAGCAGACTTCATGCCCATCACAGATGCTCAACATGTCTGGCTATCAGTGCTGGGGAGTTAGTGGCACCTACAGAGAGCCAGGTGGAGCTCAGCGAGAGAGGTAGTTTCCACAGCTGACCAGTCCCATGGGCTGAGGGGCAGCCCCACCCACTACATCTCCACTCTGTCCAGGAGGACAAGGCATCCTTGACCAATGAGGACTGGTGAACAGCTGGGTTATGTACGGGCTCCTAGAGCACCAGCTTGGGAGGCATGTTGCTGGGTTCCGCCAGGATTATTATGGATCTTCCTTCTAAAAACTAAAAGTCTTCCAACCCTCTAGGTTAGAAACAGGGGTTAAAATAGCTCCCCCACACAAATGGAGGGTTCCTGCTACATTTACCAAGAAAAAAAACAGTTGCTACAACCCTACCCACCTCCATCCCCCAAGCATCCAAGATAGAGGTCTCAGGACTAATAAGTTTATCATAAAAGTACCCCCAAGACCCCAGACTAGGGGCACCAATGATTCACAAAAGAGAACACACCTACGTTTATGGAAATTTTAAAAAGCACGTTTCACAGGAAAGTTCAGATGCTCTGACTCACCAGGGTGTTTCAAAATGCTTACCATGATCCGACGTAAATGCAATGATCGTGCTATTGGTTAACTGAAGATCATCCAAAGTACTCAAAAGGTGGCCCACCTGTGTGTCCAAATATGAAACAGAGGCAAAGTAGCTCTGGCGGATTTTCCGCTGCAAATAAAGAAAAAAAAAAATGAGTGACTGCAATTTAAACGGCCATGGCATACACAAAGATAATGCCTATCTGAGCATCTCTCTCAATCCCAATCCCTTAGTAGATGCCCTTGATGATTTTCCCAGCCAAAACATAAAACTCCTTTTCCTACCATCTGCATCCCCTCACCCATAGTCACAGCAAAATTTGCAGGTCTAAAAGATTCATTTCTAAGCGAATTAGCTTTCACTTTGGGGCAGGGATCACAGTGGATGGATAGGTCACTTATTGCCCCTTTCTGTCTCCTCCACATAATCTGATGCATCCCAGGAGATGAGCATGTATACAGACACCGATCCCTCAGCTCCTCCAAAGAGAGGCCATGCATGCTCTGATGCTGGCCATGCCAAAGATACAATCCAGCTGTATTAATTTCCTGTGGCTGCCACAACAAAGTATAAGAAACTGAGAGACTTAAAACAACTGAAATGTATCATCTCCCAGCTCTGCAGGCTAGAAGTCTGAAATCAAGGCACTGGAAGGGCCACCATCTCCCTGAAGGCTCTAGGGGAGGATCTTGCTCTCCCTAGCTTCTACTGGTGGCTGCAATCCTTGGCTTGCAACTGCATCATTCTAATCTCTGTCCACATCTTAACATGGAGTTCCTCCTGTGTGTGTCTCTCTGCCCTCTTTGTATAAGGACACCATCATATCAGATTAGGGCCCACCTTACTCCACTATGACCTCAGCTAAATACATCTGCAATGACCCTATTTCCAAAAACGGTCAAATTCTGAAGTACTGAGGGCTAGGACTTCAATGTATCTTTTTTATTGGCGAGAGGGCACAATTTAACCCATCACAACAGCGCTGAGTGAGCCTTTGCTCTGACCACTCTTTAACTCAGCAAAAGATAGCAATCGCTTGTCTTCACAGACCAGGGCTGTCACATGGAGCTCATTTCTACAGAACTCTTAGCAGTAGGGAGAAATACAAGGGATGGATGAGAGAGCAGCATACCTGCCCCAGTCCCTGAACCCCAGGAGGACTTTGGGAATAGCCAGGCTGTGCCCTGAAGTAAAGGATGCATTGGTTCCTCCTGGGGTGACCCACTGCAGCCTTGTTTACAAAGGTAAGGAAAAAGATTAATTCTCCACCACAACTGGAGGTGAGATACAAGAGAGCCATGGACTTATCAGGCCAGCCCTTGCACTATGAGCTGGACCCACCAGCTGCTTCTCGTTACTGCCAGACTGAGGATAATCAGGACACTCACTCGTTGTGCCCTTGTGGTGAAGAGAACACATATACATATAACCTTCTAGAATAATTATGGAGAAGCCTGGTCTACTTAAAGTCTTCAGTCTATAATTTGGGGAACTTTGATCCTCCTGGGGACCAAGACACCTGTCAGGATGGCTGTGTCCTATACAAGGGTACTCCCTTCTTCCTATGCTGGTTCCTCAACATAAGACAACAAGCAGACATGCTCCTCACCCTTAGTGAGCCACCTATCCAGTGAGGACACAATCACAGAGACAAGAAAATACATATATTATTGGTGGGGCCCAGGAATGAGACAGGAAAATGAGCCCTGGGAAGGTCAGGGAATGCCTCAGGGAGGACTTAGCATTTGAGAAGAGGTGCCTACAGCCTGACAAGTGAGGCTGGATGCTCTGTGTAGGGGCTGTAGTGCAGGGAACAGAGTGGTTGTGTCTGGGGCCGAAAAGAGGGCCAATGTGGCTGGAAAATCAAATGTAAGGGCAGAGGGTAAGAGGGGACACTGAAAACCTAGGTCAGGGCCAGATAATATGGACCTGGTGGGCCCATCAGTGGGCAGAGGTCCCAGGCTGTAAGCCAAAGGGGTCACTGAGGTCTTTCAAGGTGAGGAGTTGATGCAATCTGGGATGAAGATTATTAAGAGTCCTGTGGCAGCAGCGCCGATACTGATGCCAGGGGCTTTAGACAAGATGGCACTAGACCACTGCTGGATACATAAGAGGCATTAAACATACTTGCTGAATGAACAAAACAAAGAAAAACCCACTTCAGTGGTCCAGAAAGATGAGCTGAAGGATCCAGATGATGGTATAGATTTGAGAGGAATTTAGGGAGATCAAGTGGGCACAGGGAAGGGAGTAACGCAGAGGAGAGGGAGGAGATGAGGAACCCAAGGGTGATCCTGGGTGTCACATTCAGTTAGTGGCACAATAAACAGGCATGTGTGGGCAGGGGGTACAAGAGGAAGGAGAAGAGGCAGGCAGGGGTGATGGTCTGGCCACGCAGAAGCCTATGGAGCTGAGGTTGCCATGGTCAACCCATGGTTGTCATGTGCCTGAGAATGGCTCTTGCAGACAGGTGGACACCCACGTTTGAAAAGCATGGGTGAGGCCCGGGCTGGAGGCGTTATCCTGGGAGTCATCTGCCAGTAGGCCTCAGATGAGCCCAACTGGGGAGAAGGGGCCAAAAGGATACTGTGGGGGCCTTGGGACTGAGCCTGGGGAGCAGCAGCTAAAGTGTTGGACAGAAAGAGGAGTCTGCCATGGAGCCTGGAACAGGGGGCCCAGGAGGCAAACACTTCCAGAAGGGGTGGCACTGGTCACCAGTGAGAACATGGCACAGAGTTCAGGGAAGATCAGGACCCACATGATGAATTTCACTGGCCAAAAAGGTCAGTGCTGACCCAGGTGAGAGAACTCTTGGTGGGCCAGGGAGGTGGAAGCCAGAGTGGAGGCTGAAGAATGAATGGGCAATGAGACCACAGACACAGCCAGAACAGCCCATTTTCACTCTCCCTTGAAGGGCAGGCAAGAGTAGGAAGGGAGAAGAAACAGCCAGGAGCTAGGGAGGCAGGACTTTTGAAGCTGAGAGGGACAGAGCACATACAGAGGCTACAGGGAAGGTGGGCGGGAAGGAAGACCTTACTTGCTCCACTCGCAGACACTCAAAGAAAGGGAAAGGAAGAGCAGCAGCAGGGAGTCAAGTCCCTGCTGCTCTTCATCAGAGACTGGAGAGAAGGCCTCAAGCCCAACACACATGAAGGAGAGTCCAGCTATCAGTGACGGAGATTACTATTAGCATCCATTCACCAAGTACCTGCTGGATGCCATCCAGTCCTCTGAACCACCCTAACTGTAAGGACTCCAAGGCTCAGAATGGTAAATGAACTTGCACAGAGTCAACAGTTGACAAGGAGCACAGCCAGGATCTGTACCCACATCCATCCTGCACTGCACATTCCCCTCCCACTAGCTGTGCACTAGCCTCCATTTCTAAAGCAGGAAAGGTGGCCATCTGCTGAGAAACAGGGCAGAGGGGTGGCAGGGGCTGGAGAGGAGTGGTGAAGAGAACACGCAAGAGGATTCAAGCAGGGAGCTGGCCCAGGGCTGCTGGGACTGGCAGCTGAGTGCCTCCCTGCCTTGTGGCTGTGTGAATTCTCTCTAGTAGCCCTCAGGACTTAGGATGGAGAGTAGAGGGTGTGGCTGGACTGTTCCATGATCAGGGTATTGCAGGTGGGGCAAGGATAAAAGGGCAAGTTTGCTGAGGGCCTGGCAAGATAAATTGACCTGCCACATGGCCTTAGCTATTCAGGGAAGGAGCAAAGGCAAGAGGCCACCTAGACACATGGGGGAGAGTAGGACTCTACATAACACACGAGTGATCCCCATGAGACATGTGGGCAACAAGGGCATAAAATGAGGAAGCTGCAAGGAAGAGGTTGTGGTCAGGGTGGTGACCAAGAAGGAGCAAGCCACAAACTCCCAGTGTAGCTCCTGTGGTCACTGGCTCATGTAGAGCTGAGCTACAGGTCTGGGGCTGAAGAGAGCCCAGAACTGAGGGGCTCGAGAGTGCCCCTAGAGAGTACCTGGATGTGGACCCCCAAGGTTGCAAAAGGAAGGTAAGCAGGGCTTGAGTCCAACGGGAATGTGGGGCAGGGAGCAGCACATGTGCACCAGGGAGGCCCTCTGGGTCACACTGGCCACTGTGTGTGAGGAGGGAACTAAGATAACTTAAAGGAAACCTCCCCATGCAGTTGACACTGTCCTAGAAGCTTCTACATGCTCTTTAGTTCTCACTGAAAACCTACAAAGTAGATGTTATCACAGAAAACCGTAATCCATCTTGTTTCCATTTTACAGAAAAGGAAACTGAGGCTCAGAGAGATTAAAGTCACTTGACAGAGGTCAAGCAGCTGGTATGGAGTAGAATGTGAATTGAAATCCATGCTGTGCTGGGAACCAAGAAATCCAACCATGGGGCTTTGGAGTTACACATCCTGGAAGACAATGGGCTCTACCTGGCACTGCCTTTGTGTGGTCAGGCAAGTGAGTACACCCCTCTGCCTTTAGCTGCCTCAGCTGGACAACAGAGAGAGCAAGTACCTCATGAAGTTCCCATTGGGACCAAAGGAGATAGCACACATAAATCAGCACCCTTCCTGACACACAGTCCATTGTAAAGGATCACTTTAAGTGACCATCACTAACAAGGCATTCAGGTGAGCCTCGGAGCTGCAACTGGAGCCACCTTGCTATTGGAAGCCCAGAAACACGAAATTAGGAAACAAAATGATGAATTTCTTGCTTTCCAAATTCTCACCACTTGCCATCGGAAACTGAGGAATCAAATAGATTTGAGGAATGCACACTCCTCACCACCCAAACTCTTGCTGTGCAAACTCAAGAGCCAAATAGGTTTGGATATCAAGAGATAACTGTATGTATTGGTTTGGTTTGGTTTTAAACAATATACTATATGACAATGGTTCTCAACCCTCCGAGTGCATCTGAATCTCCTGGTGTGCCTTTTGGGAAATTTTCTAAGTCTGGATGGGCAAGGACTCTACATATCTGACAAGCCCTCCCAGCAGGTAGTCCAGGAAGCACACTTTGAAAATATTGCCTTCTCCTATCTCCTATTGCCTGCCTGTTGCAGTATTCACGTGGTAAGAGAAGGGCAGGGCTTTGTGTGGAATATTCCAGAAAGAGTATTATTAGTCAGCATGTACTCTGTTCTCACCAGGAGAAAGGGGGTTGATGAGTCAACATGAGGCTTCTAACTCTGTGACTATTCTACCTCTGTATCATGGCAAAAAGACACCAGCCATCACAGCTGGATGGCACTGGCCATGATGGCGTCCCAATTCCCTCTGCACCAAGGCCCTACTCACCAAGCCATTCTCTGAGAGTGACAGCTGCCAGTGTAGGTTTTTTCACAGAGGAAATCTACAAGTGCCAGCAAACTGAGCATTCTGGGTTGTTCAGGAGTTACCACCACCCTACAACTGATGAACTGTCAACTCAAATTAAACAGCATCCCCCATCAGTTAGAGATGATCACCCAGGGCACTTCCCCATTCCTATGCCCACATGTAGCAAGTCACCAAATATCTGGAAGCCCTCTTCTTTGTTTTCTTTGGAAGCTGAAACACTGGTGGAGAGATTCTTGATCCACCCAGCACTGCCTGTGTCCTAAGCACCTACAGAACACCCCTGCCCCACCACTTCACACAATGCCTTGCACAGAGAAGGTTCTTAATAAGATATTACGGATGGAGTAGTGCCTACTGAGAAAAGTGGCTTCACCTATAATATCATGCCATCAGTGCCTAATATCCCCAAAGGATGTCCTTGGTACCTGAAAATCCACAGGAATTGGGCCATAGGGCACACTTATGTTTAAGGCTTGGACGTCCTCCCGCTGCCTGATGTCCATCCAGGGGTTATAGGCCACAGGGGGTAGGCCATCAGGGACCTGGGGGTCAGCAGCCAGGGTGATGTTCTCCAAGGGATACAACTTCTGGAATTCCTTGGGGAAAAGCATACAAAGCTACAAGGTTGTCACTCTTTTGGCAAAGTCACAAGTCTGTGGCTCTATTGGTATTTGTATTGCCTTTCCTAGGAGCCTGTGATACACTTATATGGCAGTTTACTAGCATCCTCCAAGTACTTACCCACACCTGGAAGGCAAGCCTTAGGTCACCCTTATGAGATGCCAACAGCAATGAAATCATGCAACTTCTATTTCCTATAAACTGAGTAGTGACAGATCTTGCCTCATACAAACAGATACCCTCCTGTCCCTGCCCCTACCACACTCCCAACTAGAAAAGTTATGGTGAGGTGTTGTAGGTTCCCAAAACTACCCTCAGGTTCAGTAATTCACTAGGAGAACTCATGGATTCACTGTATAGCTGTGCTCACAGCTATGATTTATTATGGTGAAAGGATATCAAACACAACCAGCAAAGTTTAAAGGCACATGAGACAAAGTCTAGAGGAAACTAGACACAAGCTTTGAGTCCTCTCCCACAGAAGTCACACAGGATACACTTACTTCTCCCAGCAACAAGTTGTGTTACGACACATGTGAAATGCCGCCAACCAGGGACACTCAGTAAAACCTCAGTGCCCAGTTTTTATTTGGTGTTGGTCATATAGATACCATGCCTGGAGCATGCCAAACTTCCAGGCTCCCAGAAGGAAAACAGGGTTTCAGCATAAACTGTAATGTTTGTCTAAACAGTTTAGGCATAGCAAGCCACTCATCAATTCTGGGAATGGTCAGAATACTCCCAAAATCAAAGTTCCCAGATGCCAGCCAAGGGCCAACCTTGTACGCAGGCCTTTCAAAGGATCACCATCTGGCTGGCTTTTTAAACTCTTTTCTGCAAAGAGGCAAGAGAGGTGAGTCTCACAGGCTTCTATCAAGGGGGCTGACAGGTCCTGCTAGGAAGGCATGATCCCCTGGGCCAATCAAAGCAAGATACCTGCAGCATCAAAGGCATACCTTCTGGTCTCTACTCTCATTACACGTGAGGGGCATTCTTTAAAAAGTCAAAAGGATGCTCAGGCCCAGGGAAAAGATGAGAGGGGAAAACTGAAAAAGATTATAAAAAGGAAAAGACTACATGCTCTAAATGACATACAAACAAGTATAGGATTTGATGTTCCAACAAGCAATGCAGTCCCCTAGATTTAAGGGGTCTGACCTGACAGGCTCAGAGGGAAAAGGCAGTTGTTGAAGAGGGCTTCATGTTCCCTGGAATTGGTTCCCAAGGACCATCCCTTATTGCAGACTTTGGCAGCCTGCTTTAACTCACTTTTCTGTGATGACCTCACCATCCAACCCAACATTTACTCTATGAGTTCAAGGAAAGGAATCAAACTCTCCAGTGGAGGGAAGTAGAAAGTCAAGTACTTCATACAAGATTCCTACATGTTCTTAGCCTTGACTTCTGAATCCCATCTCCACTCCACTGAGCACACTAGTGCCCAAAAGGCATCCCTGGTGACTGGGGACAGAGGATGTGGCCACCTTTCCTACACAAATTATTCCCTCAACAAACACAGCTGTTGTGGCTGTGCTATATCAGCCCTCAGCCAGCTCTTCACCTTGGGGTATCTGAAGGGGATGTGTGGCTTATGATATCCAACGGCCAGGAAGAAAGGACTGGATGACATTTTCATCCTTTCCAACAATTGTATGGCTTGCTCAGTGCTCTGTTTGTCAGGCAAGGTGCCCTCAGGCACATCCACCACATCCACAGGGCAAAGCAGGTTGGCATGGAGTTCTCCATCTGGTCCTCGACATGTCTTTCAAAACAAAATATGTAACATCAGCTTTTTAAATGCAAGAAATAAAAGTCATGAAGGTAGCACACACATGGATTATACATTCACATCACCACAGCCCATTAGGTCTTAGTCATTCAGACTGAACAGGGACATCAGAAGTAAAACTAAAACAGAGAAGTGGTTTTTTTTTCCCCTAGGCAGGGGCCACAAATCTACCAGCACTTAGTTTTTTGCTGCTAATTCTCTGTCTCTAGATCATATCTAATTAAAGGAAATCCAAGTAAACTAATTATCAAAAAAATGTATCTCCAACTCACCAATAAGAAGATAAATAAGCCAATTAAAAATGGGCAAAGGACTTATATAGACATTTCTCCAAAATGTCTCCAAAACAAAAGAAGCCAGATATAAATAACTACATATTATATAATTCTATTTATATGAAATGTCCAGAATAGGCAAAACTATAGAGATAGAAATTAGATAAGTGGTTATCATACACTGTGGGTTGACAGAAAATGGGGAATTATTGGTAATGGGTACAGAGTTTCTTTTGGGAGTGATAAAAATGGTAAAAAATTGATTTTTGGTGATGGTTGCACAACTCTGAATTTACTAAAAACCACTGAATTGTACACTTTAAAAAGGAGAGTTTTTATAGTATGTGAATTATATCTCAATAAGAAAATTAAAAAGAAAAAAAAATCCTGTTTTAAATTTCAAAGACAGACTAAGACTTGCAAGTAACAAAGTCCCAGTCAACTGGAAAAAGCTGATAGTCCATGGAATTTACAGATCCTTAGCTACACCATGTACAGAATGAATCCTTCTGCTTCATTTCCCAAAGTGGCCATGCTGGCCATAAGGCCAAAGTTAATTTTGGCCATGACTTGTACATCACAAAGATCCAGGCACTGTGCCAGCTGCTGCTCCATCTCGAAGAGTGGTGTCCTTTCACAACCCTGTCTTGCCCACCCTGCTCGGGCAGGACAGCCCAGCAACTGCCTTATATGCAGCACTCAAGGGGGATTTGGTACTGTCAGATCTGCCAGTGTGATAAGAAATGAGAGGGCACTGAAGAAACAGGGGCCTGGCATTTGTAAGTGAGGCCACTAAAAAGTAGCAAGATGGCTTCAGGGAATTGAAAAATTAAGATGGGGTCTTCCAATCTCATTCTGTTCCTACTTAAGCCACAAGCCAAAGGCCAAAGCCCTGGGTGTTCACTGTATTCTGAAATGGAAAGATGTTAAGAATTTATAACAATATCCTCCATCCCACCTCCAAATCCTCATCCTTCTTCCCCACATGAAGTCTCCAAAAACCTCAGAGGTGCATGTCATTTCTCAGTTCTCCAGATGGTTTTCTGAATTTTTTAAATGTGGGCTTTAGTTTCATTTGTATACTGGGGATTCCCCTAAACCAAGATTTTTCTTTGTAGATTCTTATTTATTTTCTATAATGCTCTGAAATTTTAAAACCCCTGTTAGAGTTCTCAGTATCTGATCATATACATTAGATCTGAGACAGCAGACAGACATATAGCATGCCTTTCTCTCATTCTGGACTGAGTCCTAATGCTCAACTCTCTTCTCCCTTCCAAGTCTCAGCATCTTCCACAACCCTCAGTTTAGAGCCTCATCCAGAATGAGTAGCAAGGAGCCATTAAATGAGTCTGATGCATTAGGGCTTAAGGTTCTAGAACAAGGAGTACCCACCAGCTTCTAAAGTAAAGCCACTGTTCCCATCAGGCCTGATGCTAAACATCCCAACACTTGTCTCTGTCAAAACACTATCACAAATGTTTAACCTCACAGTATAACCAGCTTGACAGAAAGTGTAGTATACACAATAGTTTGTTTGCTAGACAAAGAAAAGTGGTTTCTCCTCAGAACAGTGTACATTTCACAGCCTTACCTTAGTGTTTTCATACTTCTCGGAGGAGGGATGATAAGGAGGAAATGACCAGCTATATGGAGAATCATCACTATGATTGGAAGATATACCTTGAGGGGGGGGAAAGTTGTTAAATAAAACATGAAGAGTCTTTTGACGCCCCATCCTCCCAAATTAAAACTTGTATAAACAACTGGACAAGTGAAACCTCCCCTCTTTGGGCCTTAGTTTCCTCATCTATGAAATCAGAAATTTAGGCCAGATGATGAAAAGTCCCCTCCAAAGCCAATTCTCTAGGTTTCTATTTGAGTCCTGAGCATCTGAATTCCTGGTCTCCAAGCCCTGGTGATTTGTAATAGGCTCTGTGAAAGGAATCCACAAGGGCAAGATGAGCCATCCCATTACAACAGCACAGTTCCCTAGAGCCCACACTGGAGCCTCTTATCAACCCTGTGAAGAAGGGAGCAGAGGCATTGGCCCCACCATGGGGCAGGTGGGAAAAGGAAGGCTCAGAGAAGCTCTGTGCCTTGCCCAATGCCAATCAGATATTATAAGAGTGAGCCAGGACTCAAACTCGTGCCTTAGGACTCCAAGTTCAAGTACTCATTTGTAAAACAGAAACCCACACCTAGGCTTGTACTTTACAGTCTATTTGGGAAGACACAATAACAGCACATGAAACCAAGGAAGCACTGCCAACTGTCAAAAGAGTTGGCTCTCTACCACGTGGGAGAGCCCCCAGGCACAGAGGTGATGTGGGTCAGGTGAGAGTTTGCAGGGAAGACTTCTAGGAGTCAGCAAGGCTTGCGAGGGATGAGAAGGGTAGTGCTGCCTATAGAAGTTAACCAGGAGAAGTAGAGAGGGGATTGCAGGTGGAACCATAGGAAAAAGAGCATCAGTTATCATGGCCACACAGCTCTGAAGCACCAGAGGAGGCATGACTGGAGAGGAAGAGGGTACCAGGTGGAGGGCCTATTAGCACAGCATGGTGGTGGCAAGAGCACACAGGAAGCCTATGGACCTGAGTTCAAATCCTGACACTGCCTCTTAGCATCTGGGCAACCTCGGGCAAGCTACTTGACTTCCATGCACCTCAATTTCTTCCTCAGGAAATGATGACAATGCTACAAACCCAGCTTGCTTGCTGTTGAGAAGATTAAAGGAGTGGTCACCATAATAAATGGCACGTACATAACTGGCACTCAAGGTGGCTACTATCACCCTTGAGCAGGCCCAACACTAACAGAAAAGGATCTTGTGAACAAAGATTCATTGTAAAGTGTGTTTCCACAAGGACTACAGGAAAAGCTTTTGTTCTCTGGCTAGGACACTTAGGTGCTTAGGGCCTGATCCTCAAATCCAATCGTTAGGAGGAAGGAGGCCAAGCAACATCACTCAGCCCTGGTCTGGCCTCCCTTCCCAAAGCACAATCTCCTCCCTCTGCTATATTTCCTCCTCTCTCCAAATCGTCACTTCTCTCTAGCTGCCTGCAGGCAAGGGCTGAGATGATATGAGTACCAAACTTGTCGAAAGTTCTACTGATGTTGGGCTTTCGGCTGTGCAATATGACCCCTGAGAGATTCACCTTCAAAACTGGGCCTGACTTAGCACAGTTCAATGCTTCCCTCAACCTGGCCTGGCCAGCTAGGTTCCTAGAAAAAGCTGCTAAGCCTATCAGTGAAACCAGTGAGCAAAGGGAGAGAGAACGTTCAAGTTGTTACCCTAATGACAAGCACTACTGTACTTACTGAGCTCCTGCTTTCCAATGTACTTTCACACTCATGAACTACCCAGATAGGGACACTGGGAGGTAGTTAAGACATCTATGACTCTAGCTTCCCAGGTAAGGAATCTAAGGTTCCAAGAGAATGAACAATTTGCCCAAGGTCAACGGCACAGCTAAGAAGTGATATAACTGGGATCAAGTGCCCAGATTCCTGGTGCTACTGTCCATCATCAGTTCATTGTGCTTCCAAAGATACTCATGCCAGCTATGACAGTGAAGACCTGAAACCATTTGGACTACAGCATGATATACCTACCTGTATGTTAGACTACTATGCTATTATTAAAATGACTTTTTATGATGAATAACATTATGGGGAAAAGTTTTTTAAAAAATTCAGGATATAAAATTGTATAAGGCCGGGCGAGGTGGCTCACGCCTGTAATCCTAGCACTCTGGGAGGCCGAGGCGGGCGGATTGCTCGAGGTCGGGAGTTCGAAACCAGCCTGAGCGAGACCCCGTCTCTACTAAAAATAGAAAGAAATTAATTGACCAACTGGAAGTATATATACAAAAAATGAGCCGGGCATGGTGGCGCGTGCCTGTAGTCCCAGCTACTCGGGAGGCTGAGGCAGGAGGATCGCTTGAGCCCAGGAGTTTGAGGTTACTGTGAGCTAGGCTGACGCCACGGCACTCTAGCCAGGGCAACAGAGTGAGACTCTGTCTCAAAAAAAAAAAAAAAAAAAAATTGTATATATAAGATAATCTCAAATCAGAAAAATAACATGCTCAGAACAGGGGGAACATCAAAATGCAGCTAGCCTCAGAGTGGCAGGATTATAAGTGATTTATATGCTTTAGTCTATACTTTCCTTTTTTCCATTTTTATTGGTCAAATAATCATTCATCACTTCTAGAAATACGCAACTATTATGTACTCATAATAATTCAAAATAATTTTTTTAAAAAAAGTTTTAAAGTTTGTACTTCCCACATTGCCATTTTGGTATTAAAGAGAGCGAGTTTATCAAGTAGCATTTAAGTCAAGATTGGCAGTCCCTGGCACCCTACAGGCTCTAGGTCCCACCTTACACTCAGTCTCCTGATCTAATTTACAGAGTGGGCAGCAGCCTCAACCAAACAGCAGCCCCCTCACTGGACAACAAGTCAGTAGCAGCACTGCTGCCACACGTAAGGTCCTCAGACATTCTCACCCCACTCCAATTTTACCCACAGGGACTCTGAAGGGCAGAGAGTTAGGCTCAGAGCTGCACTCACACCCAACACTGCCACCTCCCCACCCAGCACTCTTCCTACCATCCAGAAGCCAAAGGAACCAAATAGCACCACCAATGGTTTCTGAAAGGAACCAAAACTCCTACCCTTTCTCACTTTGGGTGAGAACATGAAGCCAAGTTGAGTAGTAGTTTTGTTTTGTTTTGTTGTGTTTTTAAGAAAGGCAGCAGTGAATAGGGAATTATCTGCCCAGCCAGGAGATGCCTCTGCCAAGACAGCCCCAAGCTCAGGAGGTGATCCTTGTGTTCGGGTTGAAACAAGAGAACCCAGACAGGCGACATGGAGCAGTACCAGGGTGAAAGACTTTTCCAACCGACATGGTCACGTAGCCATTCTCCTTGAAGTACTGGGGGATGGTGGAGAAGTTTCCAGTGTGCACCCTCCAGTAGGAGTTGAAGTCATACAGGCGGGTGGTATCAGGTCTCCTCCCGGTGAGGAAGGACACGCGGCTCGGGGCGCACACTGCTTGCTGTTAGGAGCAGGAGCAGAAGTCAATATCTTCACAGCAAAATGTGTCTGTGATCTCCAAGGCAACCAAGCAACCTCCCTCCCAAGGGCCCCAGGAAACAGCTTGATAGCTGACTCATGCAGATCTCAAAGCCACCAGGCAGGATCTGGGCCTCGCCCAGGCATAAGACATGAGTCTTCCTGGTGAAAGAAGGGGTAGGAATTGGGCCCTCAAACCAGCAGATGCTTGTATGCTCCTATGTGATGGCGTCCCTAGGCACAAGGGGTGGATGACATTTCTAGGGTCAGCCTCTCAAGGGGCTCAGAGAGCAGAGCTGCCATGACCAGCTGGCTGACTTTCACCCGAGGCCCAGTCGGCAGACCTGTGGGTGGCATTCTGTAGCCCCCCTTCCTTCTGAGCACCAAGCATTCCCCTCTCCTGGGAGAAAGCTGGCCAGGGCCATCCTGAGTATGTTAGGGCCAGGGCACACCCTCCACCCACAGAGGAGGGGCACCCCTGAAAATACACACTACCTTGTGAGTGGACAACTGGATTTATTGAGCACCCTTTCGGAGACTATGCTTCCCTCTAACAAAGAGATGTCTGGCACAATCAGTGCCATGTAACAATAGTTAAAGGGCCCCCCCCACCGACCCTCAGTGCACGAGGAGGCACATGCCCATGCCTAGAGGCCCCCAGACATACCTGGGCAAAGGCATTCTGGAAGAGGAGGCTGCGGGATGCCAGTTGGTCGATGTTTGGGGACCTCACTAGCTTATCTCCGTAACAGCCCAGGGAGGGGCGCAGGTCATCCACGATGATAAGAAGGATATTCAGAGCATCTACACAAGAGGGAAGGGCTTTGGTGAGGTCAACTGCACTGGCACTGAACCTTCTCTCCCACTGTCAAGGACTGCACCTTGACAGTCCTGCCAGCAAGGAGCAAGCAGGACTGGGCCTCAGCAAGGGCGGAGATGGGGTGTGAAGAGGAAGCCTGAGTCCTAGGTGGCAGGGTTAGGCTTTGGCCAGGGCCTCAAGCCTCATGGATGAGGGAGGGTGATAGAAAGAGAAGGATGGAGGAAAAGAATGAAGAATTTAAGAGTATAGGGAAGGATGGATAGAAGGAAGGATTGTTGGATGGAGGAAAAGAGGGAAGGAAAGAATAGATGAAGGGATGGAAGGAAGGAGGAAAGGATGGTGGGAGAGAGAAAGATGGATGGGTGAAAGGGAAAAGGGAAGGATGGACTGATGGAAGGAGAGATGGAAAGATGCCGAGGATAGACAGATGGATGGAAAGAAGGATGGAGGGAAGGAGAAAGAGAAGCGTGGATGGCTAGGAGAGAGGGTGGGGGATGAACAGATGGAAGGAGAGAAAGAAACAGGGTGAATGGACAGACGGAGGAAGGGTAGAAAGGAGAGAAAAATTGAGGGAGGGAGGGAAAGACGGATGGATGAAAAAAAAAGAATAGTGGGCGTGGGAAAAGAATGGATGTAAGCAGGAAAGGAGGGAAGAATGGGGGAATAGGGTGAGGGGGAAAGGCGCCTCCGCAATCTGGGCGCCAGCGGCACCTGCAGGCGGGTTGGCTAGTGCCGCGTTCTCACGGGCGACCCAGACAGAGCCCAGGACCAGGCCGAGCCAGAGCACGCCCCGGCCGGGCGGTAGCGGCGGCATTTCTGCTTTGACGCGGCCACTCTGGAACAGCAGTGACAGGCTGCAACTGGAGAGCCCGGCAGCAGCCACCGCCGCGGAGGCCTCCACGTTGGGAACCTTTGAGGACAGAACAAGAGGGCAGCCTGGGGCCCAGACGCCTGGGCGCCAACCCGAGGGAGAGCGCGCCTGCGTGCTTCTTTCCCCCACCCCGCCCCCCCAGGGGCGGGGCTTAGTGGTGCGCAAGGTCAGCGCGCGTGATCCGGGCACAGCGGGAGGGGCCGAGGGAAGAGCGCAGCGCCCCGCCCTCCCTGCTGCATCAAGCTTCACGGACCTGCTAGCCCCGGTGGAGAGCTGCTGCCGGGTTTTGCTACTCATCCACTGTCTTTAAATAGCAGTTTCCAGCTTCTTTGCCTTTGTTTGTGCTGTGCCTTTCACCTGGAAGCCCTGTCCTTCCATAATTTCTCTATGAATGTCACATTTGTCTTTGCTCTCCAGCCCAATGCCATTTCCTTTCAACGAGGCCCTTTGAGAACCCTCCTTCTCCTGTCTAAAAGGACCCCTTTTCCTATTAATTTGTTCAACAAATACTTATTAAGCATTGCAAATATGTATACTAGGCACTGTTGGTGGTGCTGGGGCTCTAAGTCCCTGCCCTGGTGGAGTTTCATAAAACTATAAGTAATAAACAGATGACATACGCGGTCTGGAGAAAAATCAAGCAAGGACGGGGGATGCTTGCTGTTTTCCAGGGGGTGGCCAGGCAAAGCCTTACTAGTAATGTCACATTTTAACAAAAACTTGAAGGAGGTGAGGGAGCAAGCCACATTGATGTATGCAAGAAGAGTGCTCCAAGCAGAGGAAGCAGCAATAGCGGAAATAGAATCATAGCCCTACACTGTACTATAATGAATACTATTACCAGGGTCACAATACTGCCGACACACCTTGATTTTCAACTTTGAGAATCAATCGGTAACAAAACCCAGGCAACTTAATTATGGTTAAAGAACAATGGACAATGGGAAAGTACTAATGCATCTATGATGCACTGCCCAGATCTCCCTTCAGGACCAAAAATTTTATTTCCCTAGCTGGCTTAAGAGCTGTTAGCTGTGCACAGCCAAAGAAACTGTCAAGAGAGCAAACAGACAACCCACAGAATGGGAGAAAATTTTTGCAAGCTAAACATCTGATAAAGGGCTGATAACTAGAATCTATTTAGAACTCAGGAAAATCAGCAAGAAAAAATCAAACAACCCTATCAAAAAAATGGGCAAAGGACATGAACAGAAACTTCTCAAAAGAAGACAGAATAATGGCCAACAAACATATGAAAAAATGCTCAACATCTCTAATCATCGGGGAAATGCAAATCAAAACCACAATGAGATATCACTTAACTCTAGTGAGAATGGCCTTTATCAAAAAGTCCCCAAACAACAAATGCTGGCGTGGATGCGGAGAGAGAGGAACACTCCTACACTGCTGGTGGGACTGCAAAATAGTGCAACCTCTGTGGAAAGCAATATGGAGATACCTCAAAGCGATACAAGTAGATCTACCATTTGATCCAGCAATTCCACTACTGGGCATCTACCCAAAAGATCAAAAGTCACTTTATGAAAAAGATACCTGCACTCGAATGTTTATAGCAGCATAATTCACAATTGCAAAGCTATGGAAACAACCCAAGTGCCCATCAATTAATGAGTGGATTAATAAAATGTGGTATATGTATACCATGGAGTACTACTCAGCTTTAAAAAAAAAGGTAATATAGCACCTCTTGTATACTCCTGGATACAGCTGGAACCCATTCTACTAAGTGAAGTATCTCAAGAATGGAAAAACCAGCACCACATGTACTCACCAGAAAATTGGTATTAACGGATCAACACCTAAGTGAACATATAGGAGTAACATTTATCGGGTGTCGGGAGGGTAGGAGGGGGAAGGAGGGGATGGGTGTACACAACCACAACGAGTAAGATGTGCCACGTTTGGGGGATGGACATGCTTGAAGCTCTTACTCGAGGGGGGAGGGGGGCATGGGCAATATAAGTAACCTTAACACTTGTACCCCCATAATACGCTAAAATAAAAAAATAAATAAATAAAAGAGCTGTTAGCTGTTGTTAGCCCTCCTCAGAAATTGTCTTAGATAAGGACAGTCACCTCGACCACAGTCACACCTGTTCTCAGGAAGCCCACATGCAATGATTCAATTTCACGGTATAAAGGTCTAGCCTCTTACCCCAACTTTGGACATCTCTGAAAGGCCATCCCAGCTTCAGAGCTCCCTGTGGTTGGCTGAAGCCTTTCTTAAGACTTTTATCACTGTACCTGAACTGAACTGGGTTTGTTTGCCCGTGTGCAACAGTGAGCCAAACACAGAAGCACTGGGCTTTTCGGTTTTTTGTTTTATTGAGACAGAGTCTTGCTCTGTCACCCTGGCTAGAGTGCAGTAGTGACATCATAGCTCACTGCAATCTCAAACTCCTGGGCTCAAGCGATCCTCCTGCTTCAGCCTCCCAAGTAGCTGGGACTACAGGCGCATGCCATCACACCGGGGTCATTTTTCTATTTTTTATAGAGACAGGGTCTCGCTCTTGCTCAGGCTAGTCTCAAACTCCTGAGCTCAAGCGATCCTCCTGCCTCGGCCTCCAAGAGTGCTAGGATTATAGGCATGAGCCACCTCACCTGGCCTAGCACTGGGTTTTTGCAGCAAGAAAGGTTTATTGTCTGGCAGCCAAAACAAGGAGACAGGAGTCAGACTCAAATCTGTCTCCCTGAGCTGGGGGTTGGGGTAGATGTTATAGTCAGAAGGTGATGAGGCATGATCTGCTTGGATCTAGGCTGATGCTAGAAGATATGCTCTAACTGGATGTCCATGTGAAGACAGAGGATTGAAGTGATGAATCTACATACCTTCACATTTGCCATATTCTATTCTATTGTCTATAAGCAAGTACAGCCATCCCTTGGTGTCTGTGGGGGATTGATTTCAGAACCCCCTGGGGATGCCAAAATCCATGGGTGTTCAAGTCCCTGATATAAAATGGTGTAGTATTTTGCATAGAATGTACACACATCCTCCCATATACTTTAAATCATCCCTAGATTACTTATAACACTAATATAGTGTAAATGCTATGTAAATAGTAGTTATATTGTTTAGGGAATAATGACAAGGAAAAGTCTGAACATGTTCAATACAGAGGCAACCATCCATTTTTTTCAAATATTTTTTATCCAAGTTTGATTGAATTCACAGGTGCAGAACCCGCAGGTATAGAGGGCCAACTGTAGTACAAGCTACCCATCCTCAAGGCAGGGGACAATTCAAGGACATATACACTATGGGACAGGAAATCTCGGGGCCATCTAGAATTGCACCTGCCACAGATGGGCCCTATCTTGAGCCTCAATTCCACCAGATAACAGAAAACTTAATCTAGTCAATTCCACCTATTCCAAGTTACTTCAGTGTTTTGCGACTAATTACCAATTATTGTTATCAAGCAACTGAGGATTTTCTCATCATTTGCCCCAGGCTGTCACCTACATTCTGTGAGGCTCTTAAATTCTGTCACCATATCTGGAGAGAGAGAGCATCTGGTTCTTTGCATTGGCTACCCATACATGCCAGCATCCACTCTGATGTACAATCCCATCCAGCCCTCAGAGGTGGCATCCCCTCATACTAGCTTACAATGATATATCCTCATTCTAACCTGGTTTCTAGCTGCACTGTTCATGCCATTTTCCACTGTGGCATCCTTTGGCAGATTGCCTCTCCCCTCTCTCCTTGTAGGGGTACAGGAAAATTTAGCTGCTTTCCCATGCCACTTAAGTGTCACAGGAAGCTCAGGGTGCTACTCCAGACACTTCTGCAGCTAAATTCTGCTAATCTGGTGTGAGGGGACCTCTTGGACTCCGTGTACTTTTCAGGGTACTATCCAGCAAGGGAACACAAGTACCCTGGCCCTTGGGCTTCTACTGTACCCCTCACCTTTGACCCTAACTCCAGGGAGATGGGACAAAACACAGCGGTGAATTGGTAAATATTCTCTGATACCCTACCACAGCAGTAGGACGAGGCTTCAGGAGAGAGTTCAAGACTTGTATCTCATTCCAGATCCCAGGACCCCTGAAAGGGCACTCCTCCTTAAGGGCAGGCTCTGCCCCTTC